AACATGTTGCGCCTGAGCAGACCATCACCATCGCCAGCAGGCGCCCTCGTCGCCAGGCCTCAGCAGAGATGCGCCTCCAAAGACATCGTCGCATGGTGGCATACCCGCCAGGCCCCGCCAGGACGAGCAGCAAATTCCTGAGCCGACACCGGCGACTGCGAGACCCGCATCACCGCCGCGCCCGCCCCCAGCTGCTGCATCCAGCGCAACTCCGCCCCAGAAGATACCACCAAAACGTCCAGCGCTGCTCAGCCGAGGCAGTGCCGACAAGAACGCCAGTGGGACCACGCCACCCGACTCAAAGAACAACTCGCGCCGCAACTCGTGGATGAACAGCATCAGCTCAAAGTTCTCGTCGCAAAACTCGCCCGCGCAAACCACACACACTCAGGCCCAGGGATCGCCCGCCACTGCCAACAGCGCCACTCATGCTTCTCCCTCGGCCAACGGTGCTCTGAACGGCATCCAGGCGGCGTCGGGAGGCAGCAACGGCGCTCCTGAGCCCTACATCCCACAACAGCCTAAGAGCTCCTTCGTCGGGAACGTACTGCGACGTCTGTCATCAGGTACACAGGTTGGCACCGCCGGCAAGGTCTACCCAAATGGAGGAATGTGCCCGCGAAAGGTCATGAATGTCGACCCCAACCGCGAGCGATGTCTCGTTCCTGAGCTGGATCAGAACAAACTGCGCAAGGTTGCATTCTGTGTCGATGTTGAGATTGCTGGAGGGCCAAAGTACAAAGACGACGTTGAAACAGACGACAAGAAGGTGAAGCGCAAGGACAAGAAGTTGAAGGAGCGTGGCGAGGGCGAGGCACTGAGGAACCCGGATGCTGTGGCCGAAGAGAAAGACAAGGATGGTGTCGTCGCCATCGCCCAAGAAGTCGTCGGCAACGATTCTGAGCCAAATCCCGAGGGCACTGTCTTGGACGAGGACAAGCAGGAACCAAGTAGGAAGAAAGAGAAGAAGAAGCGATCTGAGGCCGAGCGCAAAGAGCGGAAAGAGAAGAAACGCAAAAAGGCTGAAGAGAATGGCACAATCCCTATGGAACTCACCAGAGATGACGACAGCGCCAGTGCTGAAGGAATACCTGCTGCTTCCGGGGCACCGACTCCCCGCGCTCAGGACCGTCCGACGATTGACCCACTGCGCATCTACCGGAGATGTTGCCAGCTTCGCGAGTCTCCCATTCTCAAGCGCATTAGTGACCAGCTTGCGGCACCACGCGCGTGCTCCGTCGTTCAACCGGGCGTTGTCACTTGTCTAGATCTGACAGGCTCCAGATTGCAATTGGCAGATGTCTTGACTCTTTCCGACTGGCTCGCTATTGTGCCGGTTAAGAAGCTGTTTTTAGAGGACGCGGACTTGAATGACGAGAAGATACGAGTCATACTCGCAGGTCTCCTGGCCGCCAAAGTCCCAGAGCCTCCAAAACGGCGCGATCCGTCCAATGGCGATACCCAGGACGGACTATGCCAGCAAGGCTCATGCGCGGTCAAGAAGCTGGTTCTCAAGAACAACCCAAAGATCACAGCTGAAGGCTGGAAACACATCGCACTGTTTCTGTACATGTGCAAGTCCATCATGGCCATCGACGTGTCCATGATACCATTTCCCAGGTCTCGACCACAGGTGGCTTCTCCGCCAACTAACAGCACACAAGCACCGTCTCCCACCAAGGACAGCAGATCGGGAGATGTGGCTGAAATCTTTTCCAAGGCTATTTCCGAACGGTTGGGCGGTTCAGAGCTCCAAGAACTAGCCATGGCCGAATGCAACTTGACCTCCTCGAGCATCCGCAAAATCATCGACGGCTGCGTCATCAGCGGCATTCAACGTCTAAGTCTCGCGACGAATGATATCGACGCCGAAGGCTTGGAACATGTCCTGCATTACTTGCGCTCTGGTGTCTGTCAAGGAATTGATCTTGGCGGAAACGACCTACGATCATTGATGGACAAGATCTGTGACAGCATCAAGCACTGCCAGAACAGTCCGCTGTGGGCACTGTGCTTGCAAGACACTGGTCTCACCCCAGAAGCGCTCAAGACACTCATACCAACTCTAATTTCCCTACCATCCTTCAGATTTTTGGACCTGTCGCATAACAGGGGTCTTTTCTTGGGTCAGACTTCGTTGTGTCTTCTGAGAAAATACATGCCTCAGTTTAAGGAGCTGAAACGGATACATCTGGTGAATGTCGACATGAAGCCCGAAGATGCTATCGCCATCGCGGAAATTCTGCCGGATTGTCCTCATATCGCACATATCAACATTCTTGAAAATCCGGAGATCACTCGTGTTGCAACCTCAACAGACGAGGAGACACAAGAAGAGGCTGCCGCACTATATGCATCGTTGACTCTGGCGGCTAAGTTATCCAAGTCGCTTATATGCATCGACGTGGACATTCCAGCTCCTGAACAAGGCGAAGTGATCAAAGCGCTTGCGAAGCAAGTCGTAGCTTACTGCTTACGCAATATTGAATCCATCAACGAAGTGCCAGAGCTCCGAGCAGCTCCGAAAGAAGTCGAGGTTCCCGATATTCTCATGCGTCTTGTTGGTCCGGAGGACAGTGACTACAAGGAAACCGATAACGCGTCAGATACTGCGGACAATGACTACATCGTTGGGGGCACAGGCATTGCTAAAGCGCTCAGCTACTGTCTCTCTCATAAGGAGACCGATCTTCGCCGAGTGTCAGTCCCAGTCAGTGGTACCTCTACTCCGAGGAGTAGAAGCAGGGTACCAGTGCTTGAGGAGCCAAGCAAGGCCAGAGCCATGTCCAAGGATCTCCTCGAGACAGCGCGGAATACGCGAAACAGGATTCAGCCTGCACTTATCAGAGAGGCGAAGGGTGGCAATGACCTGAGCTACCGTAGGTTTCATGATCTTTCCGTCGTGCCGATGTGGCTAACATGTTGATAGGTCGTTTGCTTTTCCTGGACCAAACACTTCAAGGCATGATCCAACGCTTCGAAGACGAATACCCAGAAACGCGTCTTCAGCCATCTGATGCCGCTTCTACTACAAGCTCCAAACTCAGCAGCTCACCGCCCACTTCCGCTGTACCGACACTCGAGAACAGTGTGTCGACAGACTTCACAGCTGCTGAATCAGACGAAGACGAGCCCTCTACCCTACGCTCACGCCACAATTCCGATGTCTCTCTTGCATCTCGCCATATGTCGCTTGAGGAAGGACGTCTTCACCGGTTTGGCCACCGCGTACGCACCGGTCTTCTCAACCCGTCACGTCCCACGACTCCCGACGTCTCCGAAAATCACGTCTCCTTCATCTCAGGTACGGCAGATGACCAAGGCCTTCCCGAACATCTCCTCGCCATGCGCGCGTACTTCCAGAACCACAGTGGTGACGAGATGAGGCAAATGATTGAGGGTAAAGGCTGGGAACAGGCTTTCAATAGCGTCGTGGAGAACGCTGAGGAATTGAGGAACCTCGAGAAAGAGGACCCACAGCAATTTAAAATCTTCAAGGAGAGTCAAATTGCAGCCTTGAAGAATCGCAATCCGGATATTTTTGCACCAGGAGAAAGGGAGGGGACGAATATGGAAGGGAATCGGGGGGATGACTTTGCTATCGAGGACTAATTATGAGGTGGGGAGTTTGGGAAGGGCTGATGGGAGGATTGGTGGTTACTGGGAAGTGTAATCAGTATAATTTCTCCACCGTTGACTTGAGCTTGAAGGTTGAGGCGCTGGAGCGCGCCCATCAGCTCAAGAGTTCATTCTTTGTAAATTTGTAACATACAGCTACATGACATGCTGATTCAACTATGATTCCCATATCACGGTATCTCTATCCTCGACAGCTGAAACACGTCACATATGTTTCCTGCTATTCGTCGCGTTTTCCTGGGTCATCTCTTCTCGGCTTGATAGCCTCGTAGCCACAGTCTCAGGTATGAAGAGGCTCTTTTGCCTTCCTATTTCCCTTCTGATTTCCTCCTTTTTCTTTATCACACCCTTGCTGAACTATTATTGGAAACTTATTGCTCCACATACATGACTTGGCAGTTCTTTTCACCCTCGGTGCCTGGGTGATTTGATTCTGCAGTAGGTATTTAACTTGGATGTATGGCGTAGTAGGTGTCGGCGTCAGTGTTGGTAGTGGTGTAGGAACTGGCTGAGGCATCTATACCGGCACCTCCGTCTCCAACGCTGCATATTGGCTCAGTCGTCTTTGGGAACTTATCTGGAGGTCGCTATTGTGGCGAAGGTCGCTCGTGGTTGTCGCGACAGTGGTCCAAAGGCGCTTGCGTTGCGTGCGCGCATGATGGAACAAACATGTTACATCGTGACGAGACTCGGACGCTGTTTAGACTGGAGCAGAGGGATGACGGTTCTAATGTATGTTGAATACGAAGCTTGATCATGTGTTGATCAGGCAGTAAGGTTATCAAAACGCCGTCCGGTTCTTGGCCCAATGCATTACGGTTCAGAGGAAGGGACTCTATTTATCTCGATCCTAGCTGTAACGGATCAGTATACGTGAGCTAGGGTGCCGTATTATAGATCGAGTTGGCAGAGGTAACGCTCAGATCGGACCAGGGAAATGACGATATCGAGAGAGTGGGCCGACGTGTATCAGAAGATCAAGAGCATATCATAGTCAAGGGAGGTAGGCAAACGCACCAAACCAACATCGCCATTTTGCCATCAGGCTCCAATATATATTGGCACTATCACCAAAACCATCTACATACTTTCTAAGGATATCATAGCTTGAGCAAGTTACATGCCCACGAACACTTCTTCTAAAAGATAATCCAAGCAAGCGAATGACGTGAAATAATGCTGGAAAGATGCTTATGTGTCGTGTGCAATTCAACGAACATCATGTACAAGATAAAAAAAGAAACCACCGGGACCCGCCCAAGCAGCACTACGATGCGTGAGTGGATAACCAGTGGAAGAGAAAAAACAACTTCCTTCACACCATTATGCACATATCCGACTCTTTCCAGTGAGGGCAGAGCCTACAAGAAGGGTAGCACTACACCCTTCCTTATTGGGCTTCCCCTGCCATCGACAGTGCTACCTTCAGCGCTGTATCCAGAATCGCGATCGACGTCGTCGTTGTCAAAGTCGATGTCAAAGTCGGGTTCCTTCTCCTCCTCAGCCTCTTCGTCATCGTCGCCATCCCAGGCTTTCTGTGTCGCACCGCGCGAATTCCATCGTAGTGTACGGCTGATGCTATCGAACCATTCGGTTGGCTGCGAGAGTACGGTAGGAAATGGGTACTGAGAAGCGGCGATGGTGACGTGGTCGCCTTGACGGAGTTCGACACGGCCCTTGCCGTCGAAGGCGCAGTAGGCGGTAGCCCGGGACTTGAGAGGTACCGCGATGCGGAGGAGCATGCTGTCATTAAGCAGCATGGGGCGGAAGGAGAGAGTATGCGGGCAGATGGGTGTCAGGAGGATAGCAGGGATATCCGGGTGCACGAGAGAGCCACCTGCAGAGAGCGAGTATGCTGTTGAACCGGTAGGCGTCGAGAAGATAACACCGTCTGCTTGCACAACAGTAAGCAGGTTGTTATCGCCGTAGAGCTCGAGGTTCGAGACATAGGGTGATGGGCCGCGGTCGATGACAAGCTCGTTGAGTACCTCGAATTGCTCAGCTTCAATGTGCTGAGGTGATCCTTGGGCAACGTTCTTCTGGTAGCGGTATACTGTGCAGGTGAAGCGCATGCGCAGATTCACACGCATACCAGTCTCACTCATGATCTTGTCGAGCGCTGGCCTATACTGCGCGAATTCAAAGTTTGTAAGGAAACCAAGGCTGCCGAGCGAGAAGGACAGAATCGGCGGTACGATGCGCTGGAAGAGCCACGAGGTGAAAAGTACGGTGCCGTCTCCACCAAGAGTAAGAACAAGATCGAAGATCTCTGGTGTTTCCCAGCACAGGTCTGGTGTCCACCAACGAAGCATGTTCTCGTAGCGTTTGTCTTTGGCCAACAAAGAGGCAGCATCGAAGCGCTTCGACTTGCGCAGCTTGTGGTCTACGTAGACGTTCACTCCAACGTCTGAGCCATAGCGCGAGGTAGTCATGAGCCATTCCGCCAACTCGCGCGTAAGGTATACAAGATTGTTGTCGCGAGCCTTGGTGACAATCATAACATTGCGTACCGTCATCTTGATGGGTCGACGCTGCAGCTGCTTCGACACCTCACGGACACTGTTCGCAGTCTGCATGAGTCTTGAATGCGATATTGTGTCATCCTCGGACATCTCTTCCATGACCTTTCCCAGGTTCACAGCCTTGTCAAACTTCTTATGGAAAAAGCATGGCGATGCGAGCGCAGCCATCTTGCTTGCAGAAAGGTCCGCAGAGTGCAATTCAAGTTCGGAAAGCGCTTTTGCAAGTTGCGAATGCGTGATGCTCTTTGAACGCGCATTCTTCCCTCCATTCTCTGAGCCTTCCATGACGGAATCCATGGACTGTTGTGTCGCCGATGAAGGCGGAGGCCGAGACTGTAACGCCTTAAGAAGAGTCTGGCGGGGTATCGCGGAGTCGATTGATTGCGCGTTCTTGCGGTGCTTCCGAACGCGGTTCTCACCAAAAGACGGGATGCGCGGGAGGACGGAGAGGTTCTCGATGGAGGAGGACTTGCTGATAGCGGTGGGGTCTTCTTTGCGGGAGGATTCGTCCGATGTCAGACTGGCTGGGTGTTGTGTTACAGCGGGCGTACCGCCAATTTCTGTGGTTACTACCGATGCATTATACGGCGCGTCCTGGGGGCAGTGGACGCTGGTCTGCGGAGGCTGTGGAGACTCTGGGCGGGTGGGATTATTAAATGAGGCATCGGCATCGACGGGGTTAAGGTCGCGGTCGGAGAAACTTGAACTGGCCGCCTGTGGGGACAGGAGCGGGTGAACCTTGGCCGGACTAAACGGCTCCCCATTCTTGAGTGTCGCCGACAACATCGTAGCTTGATTTTGCGTTACTGATCGAGCGCCCGTTAATCGCGCTTAGTCTTTCGGGGTGTTTAGTTGTAGACCTTGGCGGATAGGATATTAACCGGCGTTTTTGTTCGGCTGCGGCGGCGGGAATATGTACAGCGAAAGATGAACGTATCCAGACGGTTCAGTCGAAAATAATAAATGCTCCAGGCAAAAACGAAAGGGGAACACAAAGGAAGCGATGGATCGTGCTACTGCATGGGCGCGAGTCGTGAGGTTGTGTTTGTGATAGCTGCTAACGGTGACCGAGGTGATGTGACGACCAGCGAACCGTGTAACCGGAAGTGAAGGTAAAGATTATAATGAAGGAAGAGCCCGGCTCGACCTGGTTAGATAAGAGAGAAACGTACAAAGTGTACACGACGGGACGTCGTGTTGCCGAAAGAGCGAAGGCGCAATTGGGGGAAAGACAGTGGTGCAGCTTGAGGCAGGTGTTAGGCACGATGCGAGACCTACTATATTCAATCCGCATCTGCAAGACATCTCTGCCACCGCTATTCTGGAGCATTGCCACATCACGATCCAATGCGCCAGCCTCAAACGAAGGGTACCGCCCATCTGTAGCGGCTAGCCCGCCGTGAATTTTGTGACACCTCGCGTGTCACAAACTCGTGGGTCCACGCCGGAGCATCTACCAAACATAGAACGAAGCTTCATTCTATTCCGCGATCTTGACACAGATTCCAACGGCCTAGGCGGCCCAGAAGTTCCTTTCAGCCTGTCTTCTAAGGCACGCTCCACCGCATGGTCACTTCGCTCGACTGTCAGAATCCTTCGATGACCCTGAGCGTTCATGGCTGACAAGCGCTCCCTCATGGGAAAGTCTCAGTCATCGGCTCATACCGACACTCTCCGCGTTTGATCCACACTTCGTTTAGAAAAGCCACAGCGGGTATCATGATTAGGAGCAAACTGTATTCGAGATTCACTATGAATCGCATCGCCGCAAAGTTATGCCACCTGCCGGCTGGACGAGCAGAGATGGACGAAACAACCCAAATTTGGACTAGTCCCTCTATAATCATACCTCTTTGCTTCGAACTCCCATCTGGTACAGGAGAAGTTTAGGCGAGACAGCTTGCTCCTCGCTAATTGTAGACCTTTGCGACACACTTACCAGGCGAGTGTGTACTGCATGAAATCGCTGCCGTTAGTACCGATGGTCCACAGACCTCATACGCCACGCATGGCTGTTACATGGAGTCGAGATATGGCAAGCGTTTACGGCAAATGTCGCGTGGAACACAGAGTGAAGTGGGCTCATACTCGCTACCAGTATGGTTGCAATGACCGCCCCCGCGCTGTTTCTGTCCACTCACAGGCGGGTCAGCGTATGTTTGCCTTCAGGCTCAAGCTGGTGCTGAAACTCGCGCATGTCAATCTCCTTAGGAGCCACCCGAGACCTCCCGAGACCTTCAACTGCCGGAGTGTTGCTGAGCACTGGTAACTTGGGGCGGCGGTCCGAAGCGCAAGAAGTAAACAGGCGCTTACGACTGTCTCGTGGCTATCTTAGTTGGGTATCCAACATGAGTGAACAACATGTATGACTCGAGATATTCCATCCAGAGGGGTAGACATAGTGGCAATGGCGAGTACGGGATGAAGCAGAGGGCGAGGAAACTAAAATCGTGAGGATGTGAACCTGGCTATTTGACAGAAGTTGAGAAGCGTAGAAGTTGGCGAAAAAGTCGTGGCACGTAACTGAGACGAAGTTTTGAAGTATTGTTGGGTGAATGTACATGACTCTACAGTCTTTTGGTATTCATCACATATCGTGGTATCTAGTGAAGTCGTAACGAAAAGAAATTCGACAAGCGAGACACTTATTGGAGAGCCTTGCGAGCGAAAGTAGGCAGAACGAAAGCTGCCTCGTGGATCTCCTTGCTGTAGTACCTGCAAAGTTGCTCCTCCTCGTCGGTGGACCAGCTGCGGAGGGGCTTCTTGAGGTCGCGGTTGGCGTCCTTGCTGCATACCATGAAGCCGATTTGGCCGGAGGGGTAGGTAGGGATAGTGGTGTAACCGTACTCGACGTTGGGGAAGACCTCCTTGCAAGCTTTCTTGAGATTTACAATGAGGGGCATGTGAAGCCATTGGTTTTCGGCTACATGGGAATGTTAGCCATTGACCAGAACAGCACCTTCCCGGCGCGTGGAGGTCTTCGAAAAGTGAACTTGTAACGAGTGGACAAGGAGAGGGCTTACAACCTTGGGTGGTAATGACACCGCCTTCGCGGAGTGCGCCGTTAAGCAGCTCGAAGTATGACTTCTGGAAGAGAGCCTCAGCGGGACCCTCTGGGTCGCTGGAGTCAGTGATGATAACGTCGAATTCGCCCTTCTTGTCCTCGAGGAACTTGAAGCCGTCACCAACGATGGTGGTGGTCTTGGGGTGCTCGAAGCCGACGGACATGCCGGGGAGGTACTGCTTGGAAAGACGGATGACAGCCTCGTCAATGTCGCAGAGGGTGGCCTCCTTGACACAGTCGTGCTTGACAACCTCACGGAGGACACCACCGTCACCGCCGCCAATTACCAAGACCTTCTCAGGGTTGGGGTGGGAGTTCATGGCAAGGTGGGTGATCATCTCCTGGTAGCTGTTCTATCGTCAACCATTGTTCGTGCCTTCCAACCAGGTGTGACATACGAGAACTCGTCGCGCTCGGTGCATTGGATGACGTTGTCGAGGACGAGGACGGTGCCGTAGTTGGTGGACTCGAAGATGAGAACGTCCTGGTACTGGCTCTTCTCGTGGTGAAGAACCTCCTTGACCTGGAGGGTCATGGCCTGACCGGGCCACATGCCGGAGATCTCGCGGAACCAGCCATCTATAGCAGAATAGTTAGTCATTGAGCCTGGAAAGGGTGGGGTGTCCAATTGATTCGTGAATCTGGTAGAACGCGACTTGACTTACCCTTGATGGTAGGGTGTTCAATAGCAGGCATCTTGAAAAATCTGTGGGTTGAAAAAGAAGGGTAGAGTAGAGGACGTGATCGTTTACGGAAGTAAACAGAAGATTGACAGAGCTGTCGCCGGATATATATGGGGACCTTCAGGTTTGCGGAGTTTTTCCTTGTGTTTGCGTTGGGCACAATTTTCTAGGTCTATGCACGTCACTGGCCGCGCGCGGTACCTGCCCCGCCATCCCCCACCAAGGTCATCCCGGGAAGGTCCAGCCGCAGGGCATCTATATTGGCTGGCATTATCTCCACGACTGCCAGACTGGTCCACGCTTTACGACTGACATCTGACTTGTCTTTTCTGTGTAGTTGTCACGGACAGCCGGAGTAGTTGTAAGGCCGATTTGATGTAGAGGGTTCCTGGGGGATGGCTGCCTGATGACGAGGGCGGCCGTACGCCTGGCACTATCACGAAACCGGATACTGACTGCATGTCTGAAGAAGCATAAAGACATGGCCTACGATGAGTTTGCGAAAGTTATTGGGAAGTGCCAATACCACTGGATTTATTCTAAAACATACAAGCAGCGCAACCATGACCGAAGCCGCCCAAGTACAAGATCCGGCTCAGGAAGAGCGCAGTTCTGTGCAGCAGATTCTCGAGACCAAAGAATATGAAACGAATCCCGAGTTGCTACCATGGTACACCAAAGAGCTTGAGGAGCCAAGTCCTGCGACAAGAGACATTTTTGAGAAGTATAGCAAGATACCACCGGCGGATGTAGTCACTCACATTAAACGTGTGAGAGATGACGCATTTACGGTTGTGAGTTTGGGTACCCATTGGGCAACAAGAGCACAACTGTGTTGACAATGTAATAGTTCCCGTATCCTTGCCTGGGAAACTGGGGCTTCTTGAATTTCTCCATTGGGGTGAACCCCGCCTACCAGGAAGTTCTCAGTCGGATCAAGAGCGGGGAAAAATTCCTCGATCTGGGATGTTGTATGGGCCAGGATGTCCGCAAGTTGGTTCATGATGGCGCCCCCTCAGAGCATATGTATGCATCCGATCTCAAGAAGAACTTCTGGGGAATTGGTTATCATATGTTCTTGGACAAGTCAACCCTGCAGACGCAATTTGTGGAAGCCGACATCTTTGACACCGACTCGGCGCTGAAGCAGATGGATGGGAAGATGGATGTGATCAACGCCGCGTCCTTCTTTCACCTGTTCGACTGGGACCAACAGGTGAGGGCAGCCAAGCGTGCTGTTCAGTTGTTGAAGCCAGTATCTGGAAGCCTTATTGTTGGACGACAGGGCGGCAAGCCTGAAGCTGGCAGTTTCGCACATGTCATGAAGGAGATGACTGCTTTCTGGCACAATCCTGAGTCGTGGGCGAAGATGTGGAAGCAGGTTGGAGACGAGACTGGAACAGATTGGGTGGTTCAAGCTGTACTTGGCGAGGAAGATCTATCAAAGAGGATGAAGACTAGTCTGGTGCCTGCTGGTACGAGATTCATGACTTTCACTATTCGTAGAGTGTAGAAGACTAGTCGGACGAATACATTGGCTGGCATAGCATCGTGGCAGCCAGATGGGGATGCGGAGCAGCAGCCAATGAGCGTCGCTTAGGGTCCGAGCAAGGAAGCCAAACTCAATCTGGCTTCATCACCACCATTGCATCTCCAATCTAGAAGCCATTGACACGAAACATTGCAGTCGCTCACCATACAAAGCCACTCCACAAGCACTACAATCATGGACCCCTACTCACCCGAGGGAGGTTCGTTGGACCACCAGCCACACCAGCTCAGAGCCCCACTAATGTCTATCCAGAGCTCATAAACATCCACTCGGCCTTCCACGCCGGCGCCTACCAGCAGGTTCTCGATTTCGATACTTCAAATTTCTCCTCGTCAAATGCGCTTCCCCTTCGCGTCCTCCAGCTCCGCAGTCGAATCGCGCTCGGCCAAGCACAAGCCGTCTCCAACGAACTCGCATCCGAGAAGACACCAGATCTGATCGCAGTGAAGCTGCTAGCCGACTATGAGCAGTCCAAGGACGTAGTAGGTCAGGCGAAGAAGCTGGCAGAGCAACATGGGCAGGACAACTTGACGGTGCAGCTTTGCGTGGGCATGATATTAGAAAGAGCGGGCGAGACTGAGGCCGCGCTCAATGTGTTGAGCAAGCACCAAGGCAGTTTGGACGCGTACGTCATGCAGATTCCTCTACGTGCCTCATGTCATGAGAGAGTCAGTGGCTAACGTCTAGGTAGCGTTGCACTCATCGTACAAATCCACCTCCAACAAAACCGCACAGATCTCGCTGCAAAAGAGGCTCAGCGTGCACGGAAATGGGCACAAGATAGCCTGCTTGTCAACATCGCCGAGAGTTGGGTTGGCATGCGAGAAGTACGTTCTCCTTTACGACCGTCACTATTAGACTTACCATTAACATCCCATTCAGGGCGGCGAGAAGTACCAATCTGCATTCTACGTCTTCGAGGAACTAGCCACGAGCTCTCAATCCACCTCCCCACACTCCCTCGTCGCACAGGCCGTATCAGAACTCCACCTCGGCCGCCTCCCGGAAGCCGAAGCCGCTCTACAACAAGCGCTTTCCATCGACGGCACTTCTGCCGACACACTCGCCAACCTCATCGTCCTTAACACGCTGCTTGGTAAGAAGGAGGACGCTGAGCAACTCAAGTCACAATTGCAATCTTCTGCACCACAGCATAGGGCTATTGCAGACTGGGCGAGCAAGAAAGAGGAGTTCGCAAAGGCGGCAGCAAAATACACGCCAAAGTTCGAGGTTGCCTCATAGGAGGAGCGGGTAGTGCACGGAGAAATGGATGCTGAGGGTAATGCTTTCGCGCATTTGGTGTCTACGGGAGTAGCCCAAGATTAGACGTAGGGAGACATGGTTCAATGTACACCCCTCGAGATGAATGTGACAATACCGAGTCGAGTCTAGACGCTTGTCAGTCTCTATAGTGCATTAAGATTCGTCGAGTCCACACATGGCTTGAGATGTCATAGCAAGACTTTGAAACTCTTCGAGACCGCAGTATCTAGACCTTCGTGTTATCTGTCACTGATCTCACTCATACACTTTTTCAAGGGTAAACCATCACTAACCTCATCATTAGCAATCTCCAATGGGAACCAAGCACCCCGCCACATGTGCTCTACTCATCTACGGCTCAATCCTACCCGAAAGCGCCACGCGCCATTTCGTATGGCTGGCCTTATAGGCTGCCTGCAAGCATCTTACAATTGGGAGATTACCATCTCAACAAGCGTGACACGATAAGCATAAAGCGGTCAACGGTATGACCAGCCTTGACGAACTCGCATGCATGTAGACGGGAAGTCATCATCCTCCTGACAGCCAGCACGTGCGCAAGCTTCAAAGCAAGGACGTGATCGACGCGCCACGCGCATCTAGCGGTAGATCCACCCACGGCACCGGATTTGATGGAATTTCACCACTTCTTCCATTACACTAGCACCGTCCATGTTGGTACTACCCTTTTTCGAAGCGATCAAGTTGCACGAAAGCGCGTAAAGGGATAATCCCTATTTCGTAACCCAGGAAGATTCATGTTATACGTTGCCTTAGCTGACACGTTGAATGCGTGAGAAGGGATGCATGCTGCAACTCCAACTGTCTTAGTGGCGCCGGGAGCTGATACATCCGGGACTCATGGAGACCATCATGGAACGAAGCTTAGCTGGGCTTGCTAGCCAATGCGGGACGCAGGTCTTCTCCATCGGTCTGCGCTTTCCAGCCTACCATGCCCGTTGCGGTAACATGGGTGGCTGATTTTGGAACAGATTCGGTGTCCTTGAGAGTGTGGGTTGGGCGAGGGTCCTGCACGGCGCTTTTGAGATGTTGCGGCGCACGAGTGCGCGTTCGGCGGCACCCGTAAGGGAAGGGTCTTTGAGATTCCGCGCCGCAAATTTGCCTTGCAGGTGTATAATGTGGAGATGGAAGATTGATTGTGCTTGCAGGTGTGGATATTTGTAACCTTTGCCTTGACGCTGAACTTGCGCATGCGTTTGTTCATACCTTTCATTGTACATACATTTCCCATCTACGCTATTGTGCTTATTCCCGAAAACTCCGCTCTTGTCCGCTTTCGGAACTGCCGGGCCAGAAAGCATTTCGTCATGTCTGAGATCAAGACAGACGTTGGCGGCGTCGACAGCGCATTCGACGTACAAACACCAATCCTCGAAAACATGGTCGTAGGGGTACCGCCAGTGTTTGAAGGGCTCACCAAGCAGCTCGACAAGATTGTTGAGCAGCCACTGCTCGGTCCGAAAGCCAAGTTCCCCACAGGTTAGGAAACCTACTGTAGTCCCGGACTGCGACTCTGTGTGTGTGTGTGTGTGTGTGTGTTGACCAACTGTATAGCTACGTTTGCATTTGGACGTAAAAATGTGTCTGGCAGGCGGTTACCACAGGCTATTGCCCACCGAGGGTACAAGGCCAAGTTCCCCGAGAACACTATGGGGGCGTTCAAGGGAGCAGTTGAAGTAGGCGCAGAGGGTCTGGAAACAGACGTACATCTGACGAAAGATGGTGTAGTCGTATTATCTCATGTGAGTCTATCCGACGACGGTGCGTTGACGGCAGACTGACTCTGCCTTAGGACAAGGACCTGAAGCGGTGTTTTGGCAGAGACGAGAAGGTTATAGACTGCAACTATGAGTTCATAAGTAAGCTGAGGACGTTGAAAGAACCCCACGAGAAGATGCCTCGTCTCTTGGATCTGCTCGAGTATCTTGCACAACCTGGACTCGAAGATATCTGGGTGTTGCTCGATATCAAGGTATGCATTACTGGTCTGTTTGTACAGCCTCACACTGATAGCGTACAGCTTGACAACAACGCGGACGATGTGATGCGCTTGATTGGTGACACAATTCGGAGTGTGGCTCCGTCACCATCTAGGCCATGGCAGAAGCGTATCGTGCTAGGGTGCTGGGCAGCCAAGTACCTTCCGCTATGCTCACGGTACCTGCCTGGCTTCCCAATCTCGCACATTGGCTTCTCAACGCTGATTGCGTCGTATTTCTTTACTGTACCGAACGTCTCTTTCAACATGGCACAGGCCATTCTCATGACGCCATGGGGTCGGCTGTTTATACGGAAAGCTCAGAGCGACGGTCGGCCCGTGTACGCATGGACGGTGAACGAGGAGAGCCGGATGCGATGGGACATACGGCACGGCCTTGATGGCGTCGTGACGGACGACCCGAAGCTCTTTCTGGAGGTTCGGAAGTCGTGGAACGAGGGAACGAGAGACGGGGTGACGATGATGACATGGCTGGACGTGCTGCGGATCAACTTCTTCTGTCTGATATACACGGTCTTGTTCCAGTGTTACTTTGGGTTTCAGCGTAAGTCACTCGTCAAGATAAGAGAGGAGGAGGAGCAGTAGTAGATTATGCAATGCGATGAAATATCAGCATGTCCGAGTATAAGTTGTGTCAAGTGAGGAAAGCTATGACGGCAGGGCGCAAACATTTGGCGACCCGACGCGTGCACCCCGCCCAAAGCGCGTTCGCAGCCCACCACGTCGCTGATCAAGACCACAATGCCTAGGTACGCCTGTGTAGCTAGCAGAATGCGCTCACGTGTTGTAGCTAATCCATGCCAGAGAAATCATAACACTGCAGGCTGGCCAATGCGGCAACAGCGTCGGGCAGCAGTTCTGGCAGCAGCTCTGTCAAGAACACGGTATCAATCGCGATGGCAACCTCGAGGACTTTGCGACCGAGGGCGGTGACCGCAAAGACGTCTTCTTCTACCAGTCAGACGACACCCGCTACATTCCACGCGCCATTCTTCTGGATCTCGAGCCCAGAGTCCTCAATTCCATCCAGTCGAGCGCCTACAAGAACATCTACAACCCCGAAAACTTCTACATACACAAGGATGGCACCGGCGCCGGAAACAACTGGGGCATGGGCTACAGCATGGGCGAGCAGGTGCACGAGGACATTTTGGATATGATTGACCGTGAGGCTGACGGCTCAGACTCACTCGAGGGTTTCATGATGCTGCACTCCATCGCTGGTGGTACTGGATCCGGTCTCGGCTCATACATGCTCGAACGACTGAACGACAGATTCCCAAAGAAGCTGATCCAGACATACAGTGTCTTTCCCAACACACAGGACGGCGACATCGTCGTCCAACCATACAACAGCTTGCTGAGCATGAGACGCTTGACACAAAACGCAGACTCCGTGGTGAGTAGACCCCAGCATCAATCCCATACCTACGTACTGAATTTTCAGGTTGTCCTCGACAACGGAGCCTTGACAAGGATTGCCGCAGACCGACTGCATGTCATGAACCCCTCATTCGAGCAGACCAACCAGTTGGTGTCCACCGTCATGTCCGCCAGTACCACGACCCTCCGTTATCCTGGATACATGCACAACGACCTTGTGGGTATCGTTGCATCGCTCATTCCCACACCGCGCTGTCATTTCCTCATGACTTCTTACACCCCCTTCTCCGGCGAGAACGTAGAGCAGGCCAAGACGGTTCGCAAAACAACCGTCTTGGACGTTATGAGACGACTCTTGCAGCCCAAGAACCGCATGGTCTCTACAAACCCCACCAAGAAGAGCTGCTACATGTCCATTTTGAACATTATCCAGGGAGAGGCCGACCCTTCAGATGTACGTCTCCTCCAGTTGCTTACTTGAATTCACCTCATTGACTACCTAGGTGCACAAATCGCTTATGCGCATTCGCGAACGTCGTCTCGCTACCTTTATACCGTGGGGGCCCGCCTCTATTCAAGTCGCCTTGACGAAGAAGTCTCCCTACGTGACCTCCTCACACCGAGTTTCGGGACTTATGCTTGCGAATCACACAGGTATCGCCACACTCTTCAAGCGAATAGTAGCGCAATACTCCACGCTCAGAAAACGTAACGCTTTCCTTGAGAGCTACAAACGTGAAGTGCCCTTCAAAGATGGTCTCGGCGAATTCGATGAAGCTAAGGAAGTTGTACAAGGTCTAATTGCAGAATACGAAGAGGCTGAGGATGCCGACTATCTGACCAAAGAGACAGCGCCGCCTGCAGCTGAAGCTGACGATGCGAGAGTGGGCTAAATGACATCTGAGCGATTTTGCATTTGGCGTCGGCGTCATAGGTCGGTGTAGCGGAGTTAAGGGTACCCAAGTTGAGGTTCATTTGAGGCGTTGGCGGATGTGTAACCACGGTCACCCATCTTGAGAAATTCCGAAAGTATTCTGCCCTTGACCCGCATGAGTCGTCGTTCGAGTGATGACCACTATGCCGAGAAGTATGACTGGCATTATTCCGTAAGGTAGATTTGTCTAGCGAAGGCATGAGGAGTTTTGGGTGGTAGCGAGCGCAAGATAATCGACTCACCAGTTTACCAACAATTGCCTAACCAAGGATGTAACCTCGCAAGTATGTGCTCATAGGACTGGCAGCAAATGGAAATCGGTACCGTGGCGAGGAACTGGTTTGTGATTACCGTTCTCCTGCTCTTATATCACTGACTTGGATCACTTCCGTGGAACGGCCACGGTCAGTGCGGTGAATCGCGATTGTGAGCAGAGAGGCACATTCCTGCTTCATGTATAATACGAGCACATTATCTTTTTCTCGTTCCCTCTTTTACAAACTACCTTCATAGCAACTTAGTCTTTACTTTAAACTTGCGACCGCGCCCACGACCAAACCAACCGATTGCGAAGACGCTCAAAATCTCGAAGACAACTTCAAGCAAATTTCAACATGTTTCCGTCAACCCGCTGCTCTATCACCAACGTGCGAGCCGTCGGTCGTCCAAGCCTATTGGCCCTCTCCACACAGATCCGCAATCTCTACTTCTGCGGCCCAAAGCCTGGCGATCACGATCCAGATCTGCCCATATCGCAACACTACCACGCACGCTCCCGAACAACAAACTCAATCAATAAACCACCCACAACTATCATCATTCCCACCCCTCCCGCTCGGCCTGCCACCCCGACCCCAACTCTGAGAATCCCCGTCACTCGCATATGCTCTCAAACAGAGCGTCACACCATGCCCTATACAAACAAGCTAGAGACCGCTAGAAAAGCCCTTGAGGGGCTTGTAGCGGCTACTTACGATGATGCTACAAACTACAACACGGCTGTCGTCATCATCAGTGAGATTGCTAGGCTAGAGACCGAACTTAGGAGGGGAGAGATCGAGGGAAAGCATTGGCAGGAGTTGCAGAAAGTCCGGGAGGATATTGAAGGTTTGAAGAACATGTGGCAGAGGATGGAGAGAAGGATTTCCAGGGAATAGTCGTCTTTGGAAAAGCAGTCTCAAGGTTGGCAGTGATAAACCTTCTTCGAAACTACCTTGAATTGCAAAACTATCAGTGGTATATAGCATATTTATCACATCTCCCATCTTCCATCTCACACCAAGTCCATCAAGCCTGACTTCTTTTTCTTGTCTCTGCCCATGGTCCCCATCACGCACCATTCTTGTAGCCTAATCCACCAGCCTTGACGTCAAACTCGATTAACTCATCCAGCCCACACAGCTTGAACAGCTCCCTAGGTCCATGTCTCTTCCCGTCCTCCTCTACACTTTCAACATGTCCTGCCTTCATCTGTTGGATCGCCTTCCTAACCGCCGGATATACAACCTCGCATGCCAACAAGGGGAAGATGGCAAGTTTGTACCCGAGCTGCTTGCACTCGTCAACTGTAAAGTCTGGAGACACACCACCAGGCACACTGTTAAAAAGACAAGGTGTGGGCGCCAAATCAGCGCATATCTTCTTCGCGTCTTCAGCCGTCGTAACACCTTCCAGGAAGGCCACATCGGCGCCTTGAGCAACAGCAGCACGAAGACGATGCAAAGCCTCCTCATAACCAAAACCCTGTAAGGCATCTGTCCTTGCGATAATCACAATGTCACCACCGGATTCCTCTCTCGCTAACCTCGCAGCGCGGATCCTAGATTCGAATTCTTCCGTGTCGACGAGTTGCTTGCCGTTTAGGTGACCGCAGCGCTTGCTCACTATTTGGTCTTCTAGATGCAGACCTGCAACACCTGCGCGGATATAGGATGTTACTGTGCGACCGACCATTACGGGACCGCCGTAGCCTGTGTCGGCGTCGGCAATTAGAGGTGTGCTCGGGGAGATGGAAGCAAGCATTGTGGCGTTTTGGAGCATGTCGGTGAAGGTTGCTATGCCCATGTCGGCGGCGCCTAGACGGGACATTGTTGTTCCTGCACCAGTCTGCGTATGCGTGTTAGTTGTGATAACGCGGGATACTAACGGTGACCTGTAAGACATACCATGTATAGACAGTCCACACCTTCTTGAAGGGCTATCCTCGCTGTGAAGCCATCGTACACCCCAGGACAAGAAAGGAATTTGTCCGGATTCGCCAACATGCTTCTCAGCTTCTCAACTGCTGTAATCCTTCTTTCCGGTGCTTTGCTGGATCCCATGTTTCCCTTCTCTTTTTCGCTCTCAAAGATATCAATGAATGGTAACGATCAAGCTTTTCTCAATGAACGTTGCGTTTTGCTTTTCCTCGCTGTCAAGCCGCGCCAGATCCGATCCGTTTAAGAAGCACAACGTCCTCGTAAAGTACAGTGTGCTCAGCAACAGACACTCGGTGGCCTCACTTTTGCCCGCTGAGTATCGGCGTCTTGCGTATATACTGTGGCGGAATGGTATGCCAGATCCGGTAGTGATAGTTGTTCGTCCGTCGCGACTAGGAGGCCTGTCAACCCGAAAAGAGACCGGAGATTTTCAAAAGTAATAGTGTAATTACCAACCGGAGCAAACTCCTAACGCCTTGTATAGAATCTAGATAGCTAAACCTAAAAAAGTACGAAATGAAAAATAATGGTAACCACACCCTCATGGAAAGACAAACTACGCTGCACATCTATGACCGCCTATCCCCATCTTCTCGGCCAAGTCCTCCGAAGGGTCTGGTTTGTGAGAAAGGATCTTTTGCGCGATGGCGAAAAGGTTTGGTTGAACGTTTACCAGCTCGTTCACAAATCAGAATTGTGAAAATTACCCACTCACGTCATAACGCCCAAGATATGCGTTAACACCAGGGAAAAGCTGTTGTGGTGACACCCCGCAATGCCCTGCTCCTCTTGCTGACGTAGTGTCATGTGCCGATGTTCGCCGGCAGTTTGACCGGTAGGAGCGCCTCACTCGTCCCGTCTCACTGGCTAGACGACTGCAAGGCTCGGGTTGGCCGATATCATGGTCGGCTTGTCGTAGGCGGAAAGGCAATGTCGTATGAGAAGAAGAAGAAGGATGTGATGCCCCGTTCGGGATGCTGGCCGATGCCGAAGTCCTGGGTAGGCGAGCGCATGGGGGTGCTGAGGGGGTAGACTGGGATTTAAAGTGAGCTGGCAGCCGGCATGATGAATTCCTGGTGTTGTAATGCGTGTTCTCTTCCTTCCTCCACACGCCTTCAGGATTGATCATCTAGCGCACGCCAGCGCTAGTGGGCACCAGGGTTGGGTTGCTGACAACACCGCAGACGATGCTGAGCAGATTCTCTTGCCGTAAGATCCATCGTATGCTCGTCTCCACCAGAAAGAGAAGACCCTCTGTTATTATATACGTCTGCGAAATGGTCGCAAATCGGATTCGGAGATCTTTCGGTTCCTGTCGGCTCAGTTGAACACCATCCCAACAACTCTTAGGCGTCACGCCTGATCCTAGGTGCAGCCCGCATCGATCTGATCGAACAATTTTCCGACATCGCAATCACTTCCCGCCGTATCCGCACGTGGTCGACCGGTCCTCGCCACCGCGACCTAGTGTTCAGAGATCCGTCTTTGGTGGTGCATAGTAGACAGAATCTGGCTTCTTTGGTTGGTCGCAAGACCTTCCCATGGCATTGCGTATCTGAGTAGGTATACGGTATCTGAACACTTCATTTCCCGCACCAGGCGAGAAACCGTAGTCGTCACTCTTCCATCGCGTCCAAGCCATTCTCTCACACACGGACACCAACCACTCAACGTCTAACCGTAGGTATACCCCATATTTGGTGCACCTCCAGGACCTGGTGCTGCCATCATTGGATTTATAGGTCCAACCGGTACGTTGGGCATCTCGGCGTTCGAAAACTCAAAGCCCGCTGCCCAGTCGTAATCAGGGAATTGATCGAGCATTGGTGGTACACCGTAATCTGGACCCTCCCAAGCATCGAAGCTGCTTATTACGGACGGATCCGGTTGCATCTGGGGATTGACCAAGCTGGGGTCGAATTTGGTTACCGGAAGTTGCTGTCTCATCGATGGATCCAATTGCTGCTGTTGTTGTTGGTGGTGCTGCTGGTGCTGCTGGTGCTGCTGGTGCTGCTGTTGTTGCTGTGACGAGTATTCTTGACCTGTTTGTTAGCTATGTGCTGATCAAAGTTGGTGGTAAAATGCTTACGAGGTGCACTCTGCTGAGCGTTTTCAAGCGTCGCTTCGTCGCCGTTGTAGGGATTTTGCATATTGCCGAATTCCTCTCGCCAGTACCAGAACATGTCGTAGCTGATGCTCATGCTCAACCTTGTTCTCAACCTCAGATATAACGATTCCACACGACCGTCCTTCTTACGGAACACTTTGTCGCTACCCCATAAATCTTTCATAATATGTGCAGTTCGGAAGTGGATATCTCCCGGTTGCAAAGACACGTTCTGGAGGAAATCATACGCTTGGGAGAATGCTCGTTCGCCCGCAAGCAAATCCAGGTGTTGAGCGAGCGGACTTCGAACAAGCCTCAAAATGGTGAAACCAGCCAGGGTGATGGTACGATCAATGAACGATTGCGACACAGAAGGTAAGTGGATCTTTTGTGTCGTTTGCATAGTTGCCGCGGATTGAATGACTGAGATGCATAGAGAGTAAAACCTTGAAAGACCCTCTGCGTCGGGCCCGGGATTCGTGGGATGGGCGAAGAAATGGAACGCCATCACATGTATACGTGCACAGCTGAGTTGTAGAGCATCTATTTCGTCAGATCGAATTTCGTACGAGTTTGATCAAACTTACCAAGTTCACTTGGGGAAGACGGAGCCAGGCTGAGGAGCTGCGAGTCGAATATACCGATCAACGACCGTAGCACACGAACGTCGCAGTGGATAGACTGTAAGTTAGTTTTTCCCATAGCGACTATGGCACGCATGAGGATGATGTAGACTTTGTGCAAGAATTGCAGGTCAGAAGGTAGGTATGGAACCATGTCTTCTCGGTCTTGCTCATCCCCATCGAAGAATGATTCAGCAAGAGGTGGTATGCCTTCAACACAACTCGTTCTAAACATGGTTAGCGCAAGTTTCGAGACTGTATCTATAGTCCTTACCTTATGGAGACGATGACGCAACATAGCCAAAGTCTGGCACGTTGCACCTTGAGCGATTGATCCTTCTCGAGCGGCGTCCTAGCGAAATCCTGGCCTACGCCTGCTATGTGAAGGCCAATTTGCGTTGCTAGATGTACTGCTGAACCGCACATGAGGTGTGTTGTATCTTTGTACATTGAGTTGGTAGGTAGCCGCCAGGTGCAAAGAATTAAAAGGCCTTGGATGATTGGAACTTGCGAGGTACGTAACGCCATTGAGGAAAATGCTAGTTGAGTGATGGGCTGACTTGTCCTTTCAAGGACTTCATGTTCAGAGTACCGCCGCGATCCCGTGACCACGATAGTCCAGAACAGGAAGGGCGATTGATCATAGTAATTATTGGGCCCTATTGATGGGTCCAAGATAGGGAACAGCGGATGGTATTGTGTGAAATAACTACAATGCTGTTAGTATACACCGAGAGAAATGTTTTGGGCTGACTGACATGGTGAAGCAATCGTCGATCCGTTTCGAATCGAGTAAGTAGCCGTCTATCACGCGTGGTACCGTGCCGTGGTGATCGGAACCTTTTCGTGTCGGAGGCCTCGAGTCGAAAGCTGGGGACATTGAATCTGATGCATCAGTCCTTCCAGAAGGATCCGAATATGTGGCTGAAGCGTGTTCAAGTGGGGTGTAATTCTGCATATCGACGGTTGGTGAGGCCGTCGAGTGAGGGTAGTTTGCATCGCCAGAATTCTGCCCTTGTCTCATGTTCCATCGCAACTCCTCCAGCTCTCGTCGCATCTCTGCTTTCGTCTGGCGCAAGTTCCTGGTTGATGTAGGGAGGATGCGACATTCCAGTCCCATCTTCTTGCAGCGCCCGCATGGGTCATGCGGTACCTTGTGCTGCTCGACATCACATCGAATCTGCAAAGAAGAGTATCAGTAAACGATTGATAGCATCGTCGGACATTGTCGCGTCCCATTGAGGTGGGGAAGTACCTTTTGCTGGCGGCATTCGACACATGCTTTCCGTCGTGGAGTGGTCATGCTGGCCTGATTCATCTAGTAGGTATCCACAGGGTGTTGGCGAGCCGCAAGCATAGACTATAGTAGTAATCCGCGTCTCAATCGGCGAAAAAAGGCATATAAGAAGGTATAAGGTAGGAACTTCGCCATCAGCTGAAGAACCACACTCGCGATTAGCACCTACGTCGTCATCAAGGCCTGTTGCAGCGGTGCGAATCGGATGGCGGGGGAATGGGACCGAGTATAGGACCGATGGTGATCCCTTTCTCAGCAAGCAGGTCTCAAAGTTTTTTTCTCAGCTTCCCTTGGCTTCTCGCCCTGTGCTAAATGATTCTCTTAATAATGTGCCATGTTAGACCAAGCTCGTGCGCAATGAGGCTAACAGGCTTTGTTGTCTGTGTGGAATGGCCTGCAAATCGACGACACGCGATTTTCACCCGTGCATGACCCACCCATTGCACTAAGCCCTTTTGGCTAACGTGTTTTGCGTAATGTTGTCTGAGCGCTGCACCATTTGCATGGGGCGCCGCCATGTCATGTCGAGTGAACGCATCTCTCACGCTGTCACCCAAACAATCCATCTGTTGAGCACTCAAGCTTTTTGTGATCTCCGTGGCGCAGCCGTTTTGCCACACCTTGTCGGAGATGGACACGACGGGCCTTCTCTTCGCCGCTCCGCTCATCCTCAACCAACATTCGACCTTTCTTCCCTCAAACGTGTTTGGTGGGTCGAGTCAATGCAGTTGTACCTGATCCTCATCTTGGATGAGACGCCTTGCCTCGATGCGGCTTAGCATTCACGAAACGTCCTCAGTAGCTTCACTTCACGGGCGGGCACTATCCATCCGGTGTCGACGGCTCAGGTTAGCGATCAAAGTTCGTACGAAGCCTCTTGGCCAGGTATTCGAGACCGGCATTTCACACGTTGCGCCACATCGGTACGAATGCGACGTGAGTTATGCTGTGCCCATGACCTTGCGTCTGTGGCTTCGGCTCGATTCAGCCTCAAAAGCAATGAACGACAGCGGGATTTACTGACTCTAGCATCTTCACACGTGGACTTTGCAAGCTCACTCCTGCCTTGGCTGCCTGCACTTCCCAATGATCGTCCAACACATGACCGCTGTGCGCCAGCCGCTTGCTCGGAAAGGCAAAGTTGCATCGCTATCCCAACCAGCTCACGATACTCGTCTCGCTGTCCAAAACAGCTCATAACTTCACCGACTCTAAGCGTGCATGGCTCCCCTGATCCTGGCTATCTTCACTATCTCCACACGCACTGCTTCCTTCCTTCCATGCCTTCTAGCTCAGGGTCTCTCCGCAAGCCACATCGCCTCCGTAGGCAAGTCAAGCGTCCATCTAGGACCCTCCCATCCCCCCACCAGCTCCGCGGAAGTTACATATGCAGCGCAGATCACAACGGACTTGCAGATCAGCCACACCAAGTCGAACCTCGTGTTACAGATGGCCAATGGACGCGCAATTCCACTATCTTCTGCATATCACGTACCAAGAGTTAGCCGCACGCGACTGTGAAGGCGGAAGTATGTGCGGGGATGCCGGGGAGGATTCTCGGAATAGGAAGTATCCATCCTCGATGCATTAGGTCGAAGCACAGCCCGTGTGGTGAAGACGCTCGGGCAGATACTGCTGCCTCTGCAATCTAAGCCCGCAACAACAGCTGTATCGCAGACATGGATGCAGCTTGTGACCACGGAGATTTCTCATGACGTTGTCTAGCCACGTTCTTTTCTTTTCTTTTTCGGGACGGACACACGGAAGTCGGAAGATCGATCGAATCCACAATGTAGGGAACGGTACAACTTGCTTTTCCCCCAGTTCTGGGTTCACTACCTCGCCGTTCCTGGAGCTGTCGTGTGCCTAGCGGAGAGAGGGGGGTGGCGTCCTGTCGACCGAGGAGAAACATAGATACGGATAGTTGTTGCCATGTAGTAGGAGAATACCGCAAGCAAATACAAATACCCCTTCAGAACGTGTTCCAGTCTGTCTTGTACCAAGATTATAGCACACCAGCGATGGTGGAAATCTCCGCATGCGCTGTTGTCCGGACGCATAGATGTATCAGCTGCCACATATTGACTTAGCGGCAGGAACGCTTGCTACTTATCCGGTGGCTCGACCAACCTTCCATAACACAAAAGAGGGAGTCCAACACCAGCGTCTCGAAATGGAAAATACTTCCCTCACCAGACGCCGCTGATTTCAAAACCCACTGGACCGGTTCGCGAAGGCGACTACCAGATCTAACCAAGGAACGCAGGGTATCAGTGGTTGTATTTGATATAAATGAGCTCGGCGACGTGGACGTGAGCATGCAGCCATGACGAATCCTTTTAAGGTTCAGCCCCTACGAGATTACAAGACAAACTTCATAGCCACTTAGCACATCGAACTTGGTCAAGCACTGAGAGTTAATCACGAACCAATCACCTCCGTGAGCTTGGGAATTCCAACATTATGCATTACAAAACATCAAAGACGTCAAATGATACACGATACTATCTCACGGCCGAACAATGGAGATAGCAGTTGTCAATCATCGTCTCATGGCCCAAAAATAAAGATACAGGTTGTTGTTGATCGTAACAGGTTTGTTCATCGATATCAATCTAATCGTCGTTCCACGAAAGGCAAACGCTATGGTATAAGAATACAGTATAAAAAAGGGAAAAGTCGAGCAACTCCTTGACAGTGAGCATCCAGCTAAGTGTGCACTGTTCTCATATTCCGTCTCAATCAAGCATATCCCCATCTTCTTGTTTTACTTCATCTCCCACCTCAGCTCCTCTTACTCTTTACATCCTGAGTCCCCTGCGCATCTTCCTCGACTTAGCAGCACCCGCACCGGCAGCAGCAACATCCTCAGGCCCACCATCAGGGTTTGTGACTGCACCTGGGAATCCAACGAGGCTGTTGAACTGATCCGCCAAAGCCTTGTTCCTATCTCCACCCTTAACAGCGGCAGCAGCACTTTCACATGTGGCGACAGCAGCGTCGTTTGCCTCGCAGACATTGGTCAGTTGGTTGCAAAGGGCGTTGGTGATGATGTCGGGATTCAGGGCTTCTCCTTGACCGCCGCGAGCTAGGGGGTCAGCGATCTGGAAGGTGAATTCGTCAGCTGCACGACCATTCTCGCCGCCTTGGAAGGTTATGGTAGGTGTGCAGAGGCCGAAATCTTCACCTCCAGCTCCGGCTGCTCCTCCAGCTGCGTTGCCAGCATCAGCACCGGCGTTGGCATTGTTGTTACCGTTTCCTGCTGCGGCATCTTGCTGGTTGTTGTTCTGGTTGTTGGCGTTGTTACCGGCGTTGTTGTTGCCGTTTTGCTGGTTGTTGTTGTTGTTGTTGTTGTTGTTTTGGTTGTCGTTTTGGTCGTTGGTTGCGTTGTCATTGCCAGCATTGCCGTTGTTATTGGCATTGTTGTTGTTGTTGTTACCAGCGTTAGCATTGTTGTTGTTACCAGCATTGGCATTTTGGTTGTTGTTGTCGTTGTTGGCATTGTTATTACCAGCAGCGGCATCGTTACCAGCACTGTCAGTAGCGTTACCAGCGGCGGAACCTTGCTGTTGCTGGTTGTTGTTTGCGTTGCCGTTGTTAGCAGCGTTACCAGCATTGCCGTTACCAGCAGCTGCCTGGTTTCCACCTTGAGCAGCACCTCCCGTAGCAGCGCCACCGGCAGAAGCCTGGCTGACAACGAGGTCACCAAGACCAGCCTGGTCCATAAGATCAAAGACACTCAGGCCATCGGCAGCAAGAGGAGAAGCAGCACTGCTCTGGCTAAGGGCCGCAGCATCACCGTTGACATCAACATCAGGGTCGATGAGAGGGGTAATACCACGAAGCTCAGGAGTGACAGGGAGCGAGGCATCGCCACAGACGTTCTGGGCGTTACCGCCAGCGAAGGGGTTGGTGTTCTTCTCTGCGGTAACCATGCCAATAGCGGCAGTAAGGGCATCGGCACCTCCACCGAGTTCAGTGAAGATCTGGTCAGCACGGACGAGCTGTTTTACTCGTTAATCAGGAACTGGGAAAGTGGATGGTGTAGAGTGGAGAGACATACCTTGTCGCAAGAGTTTGCTCCACCAAGCAGGTCAGAGATGGCCGCACCAGCAATAGTAGAAGCAGCACCAGCGTCACCACCCTGAACACTGCTGATAGCATTGATAGGGACTTGCTCCTGACCGAAACGGGCCTCGACGTAGGCGATCATCGCCGCGATCATGAAAGTCTTGGAAACCATGTTTGCTGATGTGTGATTTAGAATCGACCGAAGAAAAAACGAGGTTGTAATGCGTTAAACGTTAATGTGGAAACGAGAGACTAGCTCTTTAGAAAAAGTGAGTAGTAATAGGGTAGATGTTAATATTGCCAACCTGGGCGAAAGAATGGAAAAAGTGCTGAAAAGCGAAAGGAAGAGTTTGCTGGATGCTACTGTTGACTTGTTGTTGTCGAAGTTGCTGGCCTTTAAAATGTGGGCGAGGTAACTCCGACTTATATATCACCCCTTCACTTGCCTCTCTCTCCAAGGAACATACCTTCAAGCGCCGTAGCTGGGGTGATGCTACCAAGGATCACTTACACGTCTCAACCATGCGCCCAAGACCTGTATCCAGCCTTCGATCCGCCGCCCAGAACACAGCGGAGTCTAGTAAACGTGATGGAAAAATGACTGAGGGGTGTTCCCGCCAAGGCGTCATGCGCTCTTGGGCATGCTGGAACGTATGATTGCCGGGCTGCGACTTCGCTACGCCTTAGTATCCGTCTCCTAAGGCTCCCGTGCGGGGCATCGACTCAAGGGACTGACATTACCGATGCCTTATGTTGGGGGTGTTGTGACGGCCTCAGTCGCGGTGGGGTTTCATGTGACTTTGCGACACGGAGCTATGCCTATAGCCGCCGTTGACGAACATCGCTTGACGGCGCCGATCATCAATGCGTTTTATCTTGAACTTCCATTCGAATTCTCAAAGACATGTTGCTATGCATGAGGAAACAGCAAGATTCGCGGGCGGAAACGCAATGCAAGGAAAATGCACGTAATGGTGGATATTGGACGGTGATATTGGGAAAGATGACGCCACCTGTCTGGCGCCAAATGCGATCAAAACAACCTGCTCAAAACACCAAGAAAATGCGCGGGAATTGAGAAATGAGTTGGGTAGATTCGTAATGCCTTCTGTCAACCGAAGATGCCATGAGGAGGCGACTGTTCGAGCCGCGCGTGTTACTCGTGGTCATGGCGACCCGTTTCGCACCTGCGCGAGGCAACACGGAAGCCCCAAGTCCAGCATTCCGTGAGTCGGTGGAATGATTCTCTTTGACCCGGCCATGCATGCTTGTAACGCCACGCTATATACTCACTAGGTCCTATCCAGCTTCCTCCGCAACAATCTTGTCCTCTTCATAAGTTTCTTGTACTTGTGCTTCTTCATCTTGAGCTTCCGTTGCCTCTTTACACTGATCATGTACATGCCATATCGTCGTCGCGCAACATGCTCGCGGAATGTGCTCGGCCGGTCTTGTTCCGAAGGTAGTGGGACTTCGGTTATGCGCTGGTTGATGCTAGCGGAGAGATCGTGGGCAGAGCGGGACTCGGACTCAGTCGCGCTATAGACTGGATCATTCAGATCAGGTGCCGGTGGTGGCTGGAAGGGAACAAGGCGGGCGGCCAAGTCCTCGATGTTCTCTTTTGTTGGCTGGAAATCGACGTGGATGATGCGCTGTTCTGATTGTATTGCGTCGGCTCGCTGCTCCTCTTGCGCATCTATCTCGGCGTGCACGCGGTCCAAGAAGCCACTCAGAACATCCTTGGTGGCTTCCATTCTTTGGACGTCGTTTGCCCGGTTGACGTCGAAGAAGGCGTCGAATTCAGCGGTCGACGTCGAACTGGGGAAGGAGCGCGAGATGGAGATGGGGCGGTGGAGGCCGAAGAAGGCAGATAGCTTCACATCTGGTCCGTGTTAGCACGTGCATGGTGGTGTATACCCTCGTAGCAGCCTACCGTCTTCCCGGAGGTGGTTTGTCGGTGGTACAAAGGGCACGTTGTTGCCTGTAGTAGCCGTTGAGGGCTCCTTCAGCTTCTTCGTCTCTTTGGACCTCTTCCCCGCACCCTGGAGCTCTGCTGTGGCATTCTGGTCCAACTCGGTGGGCTTCTTTTTGCTATTCGGGGGTGTTGACGGCTTCGAGGACGAGTAGCGCCGCTGGTGACTGGGTCGGAAGGGTTGTTGCGGCGCAGTGCTGGTGCTCAGCGCAGAGCGGGCGCAGCGGGTGAAGACAAACGAGTTGGCTGGCGCAGCAGCCAAAGTGTTTGCAGAGCGGGCGACTCTGCCAACAGCGGGCGAGAACATGGCCGGCTGGGTGGAGGGGTATTGGGGTATGACGATGGTGTCGATGAGGCTCAAGTCGGTCGGCTATCAGGACTTGCTGCAGGTCACCACGCGCCGATGTTTCCCCGATTGGCACTAGCACTGGCACATGTCACGCTCACCTGCTTATGCACCCCCTCTGCTATGTAGCATGTGCAACACGATTCACCCAACGCCTTGCTTGCGGTAGAGTCCTGTTTCTATCATCAGTCCCGTTCACACTTTCCTGTATACCTCACAGCATAATGTGACAAGTGCTTTCCAACCCTGTATCTACCATGGCCTCTATGTCTTGGTGGCCACAGTTCTCTGTTGTCAACCACAGCAAACCGAGCATGCGGCTCCGTCTTCACATCCTCAGTCAAACTTGAGTTGTACAGGCTGCAAACCGGAGATTGCGGCTCTGGATGGGCGAGAACAAGGAGAATCTTCATGATAGACAACTTGGAAACGAACACGATACCCTATAAAGGTTGTCTTCTTGTATTATCTAAGCAGACGAACATGTTAAAGTGCAAGTCCGGATCTTGTCAACGACCATCTTCATCCAATATTCGGAAAGAAAGTGGAGTGAGCAACGACAGACGACGCCGTATTAAGCTTTGGAAGCGGTTCACTCAACGATCATCAATGAAGTTGAGATCAGGATCTATTACGTATGGCTCATGTCATGCGCATCGTCACTGAACCGCGGCCCGCTACTTTGTGATAGGCTAAAGGATATAACGATGCAATGTAGTAGACACTCTACCTAGATACCATCATACGGAAAACATATCACGGAGAAACTAGCTATGTTGGTAAAAACACGCACAACTCTGAGACAACTACTTACTTCGTCTGGCCTAGTCTACTGTTGAAGCGGCTTGGATGTGATGTTGCGGATCGAGTCTACATGGATCTACAGATGCTTTTTGCGCACTTGCAGTAGGCATGCACAGATACTTTGCACTTGCAGAGAACAAATGTCCACAACAGCATGGCAAGCACACTATCTCTGTCTCGTATGTCGTCTGGTCTCTTCCTCCTTGGAGCAAGCGAGCAAGGGATTGCCCTATTCTTACTACTTCACTTCGCACACCCCTTCGACACCACCTTCAATGACACCAACCTTAGACCCACTCCTACAACACTCTACGTAAAACCTCACGACTCAACCCTAAGCATCCAATATCCACTTGTGTCCACAACACACAATACTGCATCTCTACCTAAACAACTTAGTCCCCACCCGCGTTTGCCCACCCACCCAACTTCTCCTCCCCCTCCCCCTCCCTCAACGCCACAAGTCCCAAGCCAAGCCTTCTCAGGCCTAGCCACATCTGCTCTCTTCCATGGATAGACCCTCTATTAAACACTGGAACGTTGCGAGTCAAACGCCGCTCGCTCGCGGAAAGAAAAGCGGCACGGACCGAAAAGGCGACTGGCCGACTTGGTAAGCTCTGTAGTCAACCACGCCGCAACCGCGCATGCATGGCGTTGCGTTGGGATCCTGCGGGATTTGCGGCACAACTATAATTTTCACACTAATTGACTGACTTCTTCGATCGTCTTTCGCTTAGGGGAGGGAAGTTGGGTAAATAGAAGGGTAAATGTGGTGCAAGTTGCTGCATGTCTTTCCTTGTAAACATGGTGCTAGGTAAGTAGGCTATGCAACCATACGGAGAATGGAAGGATTCGAAAATCGGACATTCGGAGTTGAGTAGATAGTTTGTGATATTAGACTGCAGTAGCAAATTGTAACTTGCTCGCATCTCCTCTGCACGTCAAATGCCGTGTAATATACTCTCGTACATGACATCATCTGACCCCAATCTGTTATCTTGCTGCTCTCAGCGAGCTACTAGGCAAGATACTCAGGTAGGTACAGAAAAGCCCCATTGGACGCTAGTTATCCAACCTCTGTATCTTCCAGCAGCCCAGGTTCAAGACATGCTCATCTCCTTAGATCTGCATACACTATCCAATCTACAAAATTGCGGATCCGCTTATTAGAAGAACCAAAGAAAAAGAAAAAGACCAAGATCAAGACTCAAAATCAAGACCCAGAGATTACGTCGTGAGATCGTCAAAGTATTGGCGAAGATGGAAGAAGTGGAGAAAGGGATATCAGGGGTATAAAATGGAATGGGCCGTGGAAATCGTCTCTCCTCGTCCACTCAAAGTCTGTTGCTACTCCGGGTCCCGCCAGGTGGACTATCCAGTTCTAGGGCAGGTGGGTCGATCGGCAGCGCGGGGTGGGTATGCGTCCCTGGCTTTCGCTTGGGCGAGCGAGCGAGCGCTCCTCCCTGCTGCGGGTGTAAGACCACGACAATGGCTCCGCGCAAGGCGTCCATCAGTGATTATTATAGTATCAGGGCGTTAAGGTTGCGCTGAACAATCATATCTTGTACGGATGCCATGGTGATCTTGAGCAGATTCGTGTCGGTCGCGTTCGTGTAGTGAACGTAGACCTCCTTCTTGGGCTGTCGCACGAGGTTGCGGAATTTGTTTGCGAAGAACTCTTTGCCTGCCTCGACATCTCTGTCGTCGCCAGTGTAGTCGGAGAATGTCCTTCTGATCGGGCTCATTCCGCCTGCAATCTTCTCGGTGAACAAATCGATCTTGTTGAGGAAGAGAATAAGCGCCGACTTTTCGAAATACTTGGAGTTGGATATGGATTCGAACAGCATCAGAGCTTCGTGCATTTGGTTCTAATCCTGTTAGTGGATGTACGGTTGTACGTTTCAGGAAGATGACTTACGCCGTTCCTGTCTTCTACCAACACGTGGTCGTATCCACTGATGGCGACAAGGAAGAGCACGACTTGCACGTTGTCAAAGACGTGAATCCACTTCTTTCGCTCTGAGCGCTGGCCACCAACGTCGACCATCTTGTATGTCAGGTTGCCCAGCTCAAAGATGGTCTCGGAGATACCGGTTGTCCGTAATCGCGTGCGCAGGATGTCTTGGTCGGTGGGGAGGAAGTCCTTTTGGAACAGGCGGTCGATGTTCTGAAAGAAGCTGAGGCTGTTAGTCGGGGTAGTCGAGTAGGCCATGCATGACGTACTAGTTCAAGTTGTCGTGCAGCGCATACTGGTTGCCCTTGAGTATGGTGAGCTGCACGCCCTTGTCGGCCCAGAGGGAATTGAAGGCTGTGTAGAACTCCTCGGGCATGGGCTCCTCGGTACCAATGTCGGGCGCAGAGTTGACCATCTCGGAGTACCGCTGCGGTTTGTTAGCATTGTTCTTGGGCAGGCGACGGATGAGCGTACAATGTTGTCGTCGTCCTCAAAGTCTATGTCATCTTCTTGCATGGCCGCGTAGATGGTCTGGAAGGCCGAGACCAAGTTGTTGAAGATGGTAGCCCGCCATGTTTTGCGCTCAAGACTCTGGAAGCCGCCAGCGTTGATGATGCGCATCTGCTTGAGGACGGTTGATTTGCCGCTCTCACCGGCACCTGCACTCTTGTCTCAGTCACGCTGCATCACCGGATTCCTAATTGACATGCATACCGAGTAGCAACAGCTTCACCTCGCGCTCAGCCCGCTTCCGGTCGCCTCGGAGATTCTTCTCGATCTCGGCATTCTTCCTGGACTCCGGGTCGGTGGCAGATGGTTTTCGTCCGAAGCACATTATTGCCGGTGCCATGTAATGGCAGAGAGTGACGTGGTAGAGAAAGCTGGGGGTAGCTGCGATGGAGAGGAGGAAGTCGCGACACGCTAGAGATGGGCTGCGAGCATACACGGAGTCCTGTAGCCAAGTTGCAGTCGAGGCCTACTTCTGGTGTCAGCTATGGTCTTAGTCTGCGTGACTCGCGTATGATAATTGGAACGAAGGAGGGTGACGCTACCGGATGTCGGGAGGGGGTGCAATCAACTGGTGTTGTGGAGGGTGCTAGTGAGAGCAACTAGGCAATGGGGTGCGCGACAGAACGAGGGACGAAGAAGCAAAAAGTCTATTTCAGTGAACAGGCACAGCAAACGACACTATGCACGACTAAGAAGCTAAGAAGACGACAGAAACAGCCGGGACGGTATGGGACTGGTCTAAGAAATAACGTGCCCAGGTGCTTTGCCGAACAATCCCTGATCTGCACCGTTCGCGGACCCAGCTGGGCGGGCAGGGTGATATTAAATGTCTTTCCCGCGACGCGGCAGCCAAGGGCAGGTCGAGCGTGCGCAGGCCCGACGCATTCGGATGTCCATCCTGCTTTGGGCTGCGATCTGCGGCAGCAACGTGCTGGTCGACGTGAAAGCCACGAGACGGCAAGTTGGCGTGACGATCGATTCCCGCTGCATCCAAGTCTATTACACGACTACTCCGGCTAGGAAGCCTGCTGCCGTCGCATTGAAACATGACTAGAATTTCACTCCCCAACCTGATGCTTCGGACCTCTACCGGTGCCTCAACGTTTCACTGGTCCGCGGTAGGGGGGCATGCCGATATTGTACGCTGCTAGCAGGGCACCAGGCGAGTACAACATGGCTAGCCGTTTCTACCGGCTCGTGCTCTGCAACGCCAGCTTTTGCCTGCCTTCTCTTCAGAATCCTTCATGCTTCCATGTCGACTTGGACGCAGATGCTGCAGGGCAGGCGAGTAGATGCCTAGGTACAGCTTAAGCTGTGTTTCAGGCACTGAATGGCGGCTCTTTCCGCAACCATACCTCCGAGAGTGGACCCACCCCAACCCTCCAATGCTTGTCCAAGACGCCACGATTCGGCCGTTCTCCCCAGCTGCGTGTGATCGTGCCTCTGCACTGAGTCTGCTGTACGGCCCTATTCACCTCAACTTTACCAGTCTCGCCTCAAGGTAACATTCTCCAAACTCCCCACTCGCATGGTTCAGCCGGCCGTTCCCCATGCGCAGGTGGATAAATAGCCAGGAGCCCCCTAATCGACCCACTGCAACACATTCCACGAGCCTCACCAAAACCACAGTGAACTAGCTCCGTTCCAACACTCCTCAAAGGGGTGGACCGTGTCTTGCGCGGGTATCCGGGAGCCTGAGTGTCTGGAACTTGCATGTCCCACCTTGAATCGACTCGATGAAGACCAAAAATATGCCTTCTGCACGCCTGCCACGACAAACTGCAATCGACCCTGACCCATCTCGAACCGAGGTGACCGTCGCACAGTAAACGTCGAATGGGAACCTGACCCGTCTTCCTGGTTTGACAGGCGAGCTTCATGACGCGCCTTTTTGCTTTTTGTGCTCAGCCCAGTAACCGAGGCTTAAGCCGTGTCTTGCCACCAGCTCTGTCAGCACTTTTTGTTTCTTTGAGGGGAAGTTGATCGTATTTCGAGTTAGCCATGGTGCTATTCCATGTTGGGTTCCACATGCAGCTTGGCGGGTTGTGGAGACGACAAGGTAAAGTCCTGGAGGGGACTGCACATCTTGCTCTCTTCACAGGTCAAACCTCCCCAGTCGGCGTTTTGTGATTTGCAATCTGGTCATACCTGCTTGATAACATGCGATAACTACATCCAAAGGATTGCCACCACCAATGGATACCTGAAGCTGAGCGCATCTGGTGGCGCCATCAGTTGGCTGCTTCATGAACGAGGAGTGTCGTTGTTTACATCTCTTATTTCCGGAGGTCAATTTTCACATCTTCATCAGCATTCATGTCTCGCTCTCTCTTGATTCCTGTTAACTCCTGTTGTTCTAAATTCTCCACTTTCTGGCCTGGCTGGTAGTCAAGCATACCATCAGCATCATAAATTTCCGAGACAATATGCTCTCATTAATGTCTGTTATTGCCAACTTCGTGGCCTCATTATGGACAGGTCTTTTGAACCGCTATGAGGGTGAAAGAAGGTAACGGCAGTCTCAGCTGTTACATGCTCTCCTAGCACATGGCAAGTTATGAGATAGTAGTTGATACATGTATTCCTTTGATCGTCACTTCACCGTGAGGAAACATGTTTTTGATTAGGCCATGTCTGTCGGCGTCTCTCTCACCAACTCGCTTAAGTGGTGAGAGCACCTACCTGGGTTGCTGCCGTGATGCAAAGCGCGACTGCCCTCCATTTTCGATCAACAAAACCTTCGCCAGCTTCACCCCAGCAACAACAAGACCGCATCCCGAAGTTGCAAACTGAGCCGTATCAAACTCTTGCGATTCTCTATTGTCCATCGTAAGTCATAAATCAGCTATCCAGGCATGTCGTCCGTGGGGTGCAGCACGGTAGGCTCTGGCTGACCGTTGCGTGTAGCAATACGTTCAATAATGGCGTCTGCACAGTCCTACAGCGGCCCGATTTCTCTCGGACACTCCAAGTATGCTGATCCCTTGCGGAGGAAAGCAGCATTGGCCGCATCCGCATCCGTCGCTGCCGTTCCCACTGCCGATACCGCCATGGCCACCAAAGAGCAGATCGCCGCGTTAAAGACCGGCCATGTCGCTCTCGACGTAGCTCATCACAACGCCGATGCGCAACTCGCCATTTCTCAGGGTAACGTTTTGAAGGAGGAAGTTGCCAAACACGTCAAAAAATTCTCTAGAACTGTCTCATCCACTGTCACCAACACGCGCCGACTGCTAGAGCTGATCCGTGAGGCGTTGCCAGATGCGAACACTTCGACTCTCAACGGCCTCTGGGATGAGTTGGAACAGCTTTTTGCTGCGGCAAATGAGGCCAAGGAAGCGTTGCCCGTGTTCCTCGAGAAACAGCGCGACAACATGAGCTTGTACCACAGCTCAATGGTGAACGAGGCCATCAAAGATACACAAGATGAACTGAATATTCAGCATAAGAAGGTTAGCGATACTCAGAAGACTCTTTGTATCTGTGAGATATCGACTAACGTCGTACACAACATAGGTCAATATCCAGCACAATCTCATTCTTGAGCACCAAGAGGCTTTCCTTGCGCACAAGGAGCAGACCTCCAACAAGCTGAAGGAGCTCGAAGACCTACAGGAGCGCGTTTCACGTCTCACACTCGAGAAGGGCAACTTCCGTACGGAGGTCGACAAATACATGCAGCTGCTGGAGGAGGAGCGCTCAACGAAGGCTGAAGATCTCCGCAAAGTTACCAGTATAGAGAAGGAGCTTGAGACTCTTGTAGACTCCAAGAAGCAGCTTCTCGCTGAGAGCGACACCCTGCGCAAAGCTCTCCAAGACGTTCAAGCTAAGATGAAGTCTTCCGAGCAGGAGATTACTGATCGATTCACTACCCAGCTAAAATCGACTGCTGACCTATTGGCAAAGGAAACTCAAAAGACAACCGCTTTGAACACCATGATCAACGAGCTAAAGGGAGGCGAAAGCACTGCCAGGCTCGATGCTGACAAGTCCAAGAAGGAGAACAAGGTGTTGAATGAGAAGTACGCCAACCAGGCGGCTGAGCATGCACAGGCCTTTATGGTAAGTAAGCTTGCTAGAGCAAGTCTAATCAACTATACTAACGTATTCGTAGAAACTCAACGAGCAAATCAAGCAAATTGAAGGCCTGAAGATTGATCTTGAACGTCACCAGAAGGAGAATGCCGAGCTGCAGCAGCGCCTCATCAAACTTGCCAACCTCGAGGAACAGATTAATGGGCTTAGCCAAGAGAAATCAACCTTGTCCGAACAAGTAAGCAGCCTCAGTGCTGAATTGGACGCTAGCAAGAACGAGGAGAACAAGGCCAACACCAAGGTAGGGGGTCTTCTGAAGAAAGTTGAAGGTCTAGACCAGGAAGTTGAGCAGTTGGAATCGGCTCACAACAAACTTCTCAATAAGATGAAAGAGAACAGGATGGCTGTCCAGACATCGGAGCTTCTCAAGAATGAGAACACCAAACTCAAGGCAATGATCGACGAGCTCAAAGCTTCCAAGAGCACTTCATCTGCCGTAGGCGGCTCTTCGTCTCCAAACGATGAGGAGACAATTCGTGGTCAAGAGAAGAAGATTGAGGATCTCGAAATCGCTCTACAGGAGTGGACTGATCTGGCCAAGGTAAGTAGCCGGTCAGTAAGCGATTATCAACCTGTACTGACTTGCTATATAGCGCTCCTATAAGGAGTACAAAGAGATGCTTCCTACCTACAAGAAGGCTGATCAGTTGCGCCGAGACGTCGTTGAGAGGGACGCGACTATCAACAAGCTGGAACTGGAGCTTGCTGAAGCCAAAGTCTCCAAGACCAACGGCGTAGGAGCTGGTGTTAGTGGTGGTAACGATGTCCGTTACTGGAAGCAGAAGTACGAGGCACTTCTGCTTACCGTTGATAACTAGATGTGAGGGCGTTCCGGACTCTGAGAACATGGGTGATGAGTTTGCTACGGTAAAGTGGGCGGTAAGACGTGATTGATGAAGGCTGTTCCTGAACTAATATCATCGAACATAGCCGCTACATGAAGGATATATTAGCACACCAGAATTCGAATGTGTCTGCTACGAGCATGTTCTGGTGTGTTGATTGTGCCTCCTGTCAAGATTCTCACAAAGCAAACAGATTTGGTCTGTCGACCTTTTGCTTCTAAGAATTTCCTGTACTCTCTGCTAGCTAGATAGCTGCTAGAAACCAATGCATGCCTTCCAGCCTTTCTATTCTCCATTTCAAGCTACCCTTGTCTATACCGCGCTGGTCTGTGCGTACCTTGGTGCAATAGAGTTGTCCGAAGGACGTAGGATCGCTAACATAGTCGAGCTTACGTGAGTCTCAATTGAGGCGGGGTATTGAGTAGCGAGTAGGGATACGAAAGTCTTTCTGAATGCGCAGGGACAGGTTTGGTTCCGCAGTAGGGCTCAAGTCTCCAGTTCGATTACGTCACACCCCCGAGAAGCCTTCCGTGAATTCATCTGCAGCGGATGCGGCAATGTTAGAAGCCACGTTAGCGTGAATGTGGGACATTCTGGACGATTCTTCAGCTCAGTCGCCCACGTCGTCTTGTACAACACATATCAAATCTATCCACGAAAAGCCCAGACCCAGTCGGGGAGTTACAATAGTCGTTATCCAAAAGGTTTTAGGGATGTTTTCCAATATATGGACTCCAAGTGCTGCTTGCGGGTATGTGTTCGAGTCACACAAAAATTTGCAATGTTCAGATTTCTCCAGCAGTGCGATAGCATAGGGTACGGCATATCCAGCAATGGAAGTCTCCAGGTTTCACAGAGACAAATATGTTTAGAATTTCTCGCGTCTATGAGTCGTTTGTGTGACTTGAGTCGAGAAGAGGTGCGGGTCTGGCACAAGGGTGATTATTTTGGTAGTCGTGCAACCAGCTCCTCAATCGAAGAAAGCACATATCAGAATCTGATTCTCGTACAATGTGCGGTCTTCAGCCAACCCATAAAACTGAGTTAGAACGAATGTGAGTCTTAGCGCCAAGCGACCCTCGGGTAGAACTGAGAGAAGAGGACGCTCTCTGTATGTTAAATTGCCTCCGTTCTGTCGTTGTCAACTTATAGACTGTCATATTGCGAAGATATCGTACGTTGAGTAAAACAATACATCTCGTCATTAGTGTTTCTACCACTGATGTGGACAACAGGGTTTCCATGAGTTGATACACTAACCCGCATGCCACCAAGAAACTTGCTTTGAGGGGTTCTTTCACCTTCAACCATCTGAGACCACGATATAGAAACTTACAGAAGACGCAGCCAGCTTTTAAACATCGAGATACAGTGTTTATGGCAACATAGCGCTTGACGTTAATGTCGGTGGACGTTTTGAAGTTGAGCCCACTGTTTTAACGCACATCATAGCTAGTTCCATATTCCTCACCATCGTCTTCGATTAGGTCAAAACTCCAGCGTCCATCAATCTGAAGCAGATCGTAATTCAGCTCATCCTCCTCAGGCAACGCATCGTGACTGAACACATTTTTTCGTCGCACATAGACCTTGGGTCCTGGTTTAATCCAGATTACATTCGTTCGGTATGAATACATCTCGAATGGACGTTATGCTAACCGTGGCTATCATTACCAATCTCGGTAACGAGTCGGAGGTATTGACAATCGCGTCGTGCCGATGGCGTGAACATAAATATTTTGAGTCGGCGGGACGTGAGTTGACGGGGAAGCTGTGAAGCCGAAGGATTGAGCTTAAGAGTGCAAATGACAAGCGACCTTGGGAGTCCAGGGGCCATGCGGGGGTCTGACACCAGGTGATTAGCGCACTTATTCGCGTTGACAAATATAGCTATCTGAACCATCCACCTACCTCTTCCGATCCTGTCTCAATAGATGACAATTCCATACTTAGCTTTCAAGGTCGACGGGAGTTGTAAAGTATGAGGTGCATTTAAAGTCAAGGACAACCCAAGATGCAGGTGCTTTCCATCGCACTTTCACAAGCCAATATATCCAAAGGCCGATTCCCCATTCGGATAGATTCTGCGAAACTCCTGCAGTCAGCTTACACACTGAACACTACTCCTTTCCAAAGATTGATAAGAAGACCTAGGTAAGTATATAACAATATGATTGCCGGTATCTGTCTAGGTCACGGATTCGTCAAACTCGTGCCGTTGGGAATAGTCTACCACTGTCGACTCGATTTTAAGCTTCGCATAAATCCACATCAGCTCTCAGAATGAGCAACCGAGCTGCGTTTTTGGAAACTGCGAAGGGTGAGTTTCGCGTCTGCGATGCTGATCTAGCAGAGCCTGGAGAGGGCGAGATACTTGTCAAGGTTCACGCCTGCGCCATACAACCAGCAGATGCAAAATGTGCGAAGTTCTCAATGATCCCTGTAGAATATCCTGCAGTCCTCGGTAGTCCTGTTGCAGGTGTTGTGGAGGGTATCGGACCCGGCGTGAGCAATGTCACCATTGGCGATCGGATAGTGTGCGGCACAAAGATCTTCTCGCACAAGAAGGCTAAGTACGGTGGCCTGCAGCGCTTCACCATCGTTGATGAGTCTGAAGTCGTTGAAGTAAGTAGACTGAGCCTGATCAGACCGTTTCTTTGCTAAGCATCATGCCAGATTGGCGACACTGAGTTCACCCAAGCTGTAACTCTGGCTTCGTACACGCCTCCAGGAGCCTTGTTCGCCACATCAACACTGAACATGCATCGCCCCACTATACCAGCCTCTTCGCTACCGGAAGGCGAACAGGAAAAGAAGATTCTGATCTGGGGAGGATCTTCCGCTACGGGATCTCTATCCATCTCCTACGCGAAAGCAGCCGGATACACCGTCATCAGTACAAGTTCACCACACAATTTTGATCTTCTCCACGAGTGTGGTGCAGACTATGTCTTCGACCACAGCGACCCAGCAACCGTTGGTGCAATCCGCGATCTCTTTCCTATTCATTACTGGTTTGACACCATTGCACTCAAGCCCTCACTATCCACTCTTGTCAAGATACTCGCACCAGTAGATGAGCCAGTTACGAAGGCAAACATCCTTACCTTACTGCCGCTGGTCATGACGGGTATGAAGGCCGAAGACTTCCCCGAAGGGATTACGACGCAATTTCATCGTTTCTCTACGCATGCACCGGAGAACGTAGAGTGGCATGAGTACTTCCTCGCGCGTGGCGGGTTTCTGGAAAAAGCTATCAAGAATGGAGTGCTAAAGGGTGTTCCAGCGGAAGTCATCGGCGGCTTGGACAACGTCGCCGAGGGTATCGAGAAATTGCACAGCGGAGTCAGTGGCAAGAAGATTGTTGTCCAACCATGGGTGTGATAAACGGATTATGCCCTTCGCTGCATTGACTATCGCATGTCCTGAAAGCATGCTACATGCCTAGAAAAAATGACAAATTGCAAAAACTGGAAGACGGAAAGAACATCTCAAGAAGCTGACAGAAAACCAGGATGAAAGAAAGGGACAGGATGGGACTGGATGCGGAACAATAACTTCCATTATACACACTGTAGTCTTCCCTTCAAGCCTCGAGTGTGGAGGAATCTTGCATACCTAGGTACTTCCGATTGTGATTTCCCTGCCATTGGAATCAGTATTAGGCACACTTTTGAGCTTGCTGTAGTGTTCTGATCCGACCTCCGCTAATCGCGTGTCTACATCCGATGTAGATTTGAAAGCATGCCTTGAAATTAGGGCGCTGAACTGAGTAAGGAGAAGGGAGGTGTTCGTGGCGCGCCCGACACAATGACGTCCATGTTCATGCCTTCGGATATGCCTTACCCGTTTGGAAATAGTGCATCGGTTGTTGAACTTGGCATCTGTCAACTTGAAACAGGCCTCTCTCCCCCTTACTCGCGACCCCTCCCTCGCGTTCTACCGAATTCGCGTTCAGCACTGCCAAAATATCCCAACAGCAAAGTCTGCGCGCTGGGGATGCTAGTCATTACTGGACGGCATAACTGCGGTATTCCTGGGGGCTTCCCATCCCTTACCATCCGCTCGGCGCAGCTGGCATCGTGATGCAATGCGTCGATTTAATTTCGAGCCGCTCCAGGGATCACTTGGGATTGCGAATTCTCCGCCAGTACACAGTTGCAGTGGCGCATCCGGCACTTGGCCAGTTCGCAGCAACGCCCGCACGCCTTTGCAATGTATACACGGCATTCTCCATGTTTCGCATATCTGTGAAACCTTGTCATACCGCGTGGCAGTAGCTATGGCCAACGCTGATCCATATGTCAAAACATCGCTTAAAGACCTTACGAACAGTTTCTGTTTCTTCTTCCAACGGGTCTAAACAACGGGGAGCTTCCGCGTCAGCCCACGCCATGTGCGCCTCATCAGCTAGTTTCTATTTCAGTTAGTAAATACGGCCTTCCCCAGGATCCATCGGATTTCACAGCTGTTATCGTGTGACGGCGCCCGAGGCTTGACTACTACCGGGATAGTGGTTCCACCAATCGTCCTTCTGGATGGGACTCATTTCAAAACCTCCGAGTCTGGAATCTCAAGCAGATTGATGTTGGCTGGGCTGTGATCAGTACTAACAACAGGAAATCCGTTTAATCCTTGCACGGGGATGTGCAAAGGTTGATCTAGCTGTGCCGCTTCGCACTTTACGGCGCTTCTTGTCTGTCGTTCCTTCTCTTCACCACCCCGGTCATCCAGTGCAGAGTGCCGGAGCATTCGTTCGTTCGTTCCTTAAACTTTGTAGGTCTGCGACTACATCACGCTCTTTTTGGTTCTTCTTCATTTCGCTTCTATGCCGTATCCCGTTCCGACCGCTGGGTAAAAGATGATCTCCCGTCGAAAGCACGATGATTCTGGTCACCATTACGTGGATCCTTCACTTCAGCTGAACATTGGACTATGGACACTTTTTGCTGGCGCATCAATCTTCCTCGCGCTTCGGATATGGATCAAGATCACTCGTCGCCATGGTCTCTGGTGGGATGATCATATTCTCCTTGTCTCATGGGTAAGCATATGTACTGTCTATAGATGACGGTAGCTGACGGTATTATAGGTCATACTAGCTGTCAACAACGCCATAATAACCACCGAGTTCGCCACGGGCTATGTGGCAGACAAATGGGACGATCGCATGCACATACTCATCAACATTACTTCCTGTGGAACCCTGATCAACCAATCCCTCACGAAATCGGCCTTCGCTGTCACTCTGCTGAAGCTGACAAAGAACTGGGGTCAATGGATACTATGGTTCATCATCGGCAGTATGAATGCTTACATGGTGGCCAAGGTCGTTCTACAATGGGCGAAGATTTGCGAGAAGCCATCCTACGACGTCTGGTACCGCCTCGACTTTTGCCTCAACGGGAAATTCAGAGACGATTTCAAGGAAGGTGGCAATGTTTACAACATCATCATGGACTTTATACTCGCTGTCTTCCCCTGGGTCATCACATGGAACCTCGATATGCGCAGAGTGGAAAAGGTTGGGCTTTGCGTTGCTATGAGTCTGGTACGTCGTTAGTTCAGTCTCAAAACACAATCACTAATTCTCGGATAGGGAATGTTGGTCGCAGTCGTTTCTGCTGTACGTACAGGTTGGAAAGACGAAGGCAACGAAAAGGACGAGTGGTACTTTTGGCGCAACGCGCACTCCAACATCTGGTATTCCTCTGAGATCGTCGGCACCATCATTGTTCAGTGTATACCTGTCTTGAGACCTCTTTTGCGGGACATCAAGACTTCTCTTACTTCGAAGAAGCTGGCGTCCACTGCAGAAGGGACCCAACGACGCAGCCGGTACGTCTTTACTTGCTGCTTTCATCATCGCGGAATCACTAATATCACATAGAGTCCCATCTCTCTTCGGTTTCGGCTTCGGCCCTGGCCCGACCATTGGCACTAAATCTACACACAAAGCGCACATCTACTCCAATGGACGAACTACTGTTGACACGAAAAGCGAGGCCTATCCCGACTCGTGGGACACTCAGGGTATCTACCAGAAGAGGGAGTTTGAGCTAACTACTATGGAGGTCAAAGCGCAGAAGAACCAAGAAATGGTGTAGCTAGTAACAGACATTTCCGTTGTAAACGGCCCTTTAGTACTGGCTGAGATAGAGAATGGAGACGCTTCGCTGCGATCGATATACGAGCGCCACGTGCACTGAAGTGATCTTGGCCATATAGGTGCTACGACTCATTTAGAGATTGGGCGGCGATGCCCATTGATTCAGTACGGACTTCGTGCTATCTCGCATAGACTAGTATAGTATGATCAGAGGACGATCACAATCTTTGTGATACTAAAACGGTGACGTCAAGCTATAATGGGAACAGGAGCAACACGCTGGATGTAGCGATTGACTCTCGCGATCGGATTATTCCATGCTCTGTCATTCGTTACATATTTGCAGCCGAACGTCTCGCCCCCCATTTCATAAGGAAGAGGTTTTTTGTGGGGCATATATTCAAAGAAGAGATGGTATTTCAGTGGCATTAGCGAGCTACAACGTCGTTGAACCTCGCAAGACACGAGCTAGCTATTATATCGCATCCTGGCTTATCAACTTGCTCCCCTTGCACCTGCTTGGGATAGCATCTAACTTTCTCATGTGGTAGGCTTCTAGTTCGAAGAAACTCAGAGCTTTATAGCGCCATACCTAGAGAACAGACATTGATGCATACGGATATCATCCCAGTCCTTGTGGCACATCCTCACGAACACCCATATTCCCCGTCATCTAATACTCCTGACCAGCTCCCTCAGGTCTCCACCTTCTACCCACTTCTCCTCGCCACCACCGCCAACACCCAATCCACCACCGCCTCCTCCGCTAACACCCCAGCCCTCCCCTACATCACCTATTACCCTCGCCGGCTGGCCCCCAACCACAGATCCCGACGCGATCACCATATTCGGTGGCACGACAGTATGCGGCAATATCTTGACGTTCTCCTTAATAATGGCAAAAGCACCAATACTACAGTGCTGGCCAATATGCACATGTGAGGAAATGGAGATAGCTTGTATAGTTGAGTTTGGTCCTGCGCAACTTGTTCAGCTCAGCCGTTCGCAAAACTTACCCCATCTTAGACGAGACGCAGCAAGGAAAAATTAGAAAACCGATGCCAACATACCAACGAAAACATTGTCCCCAATCTTCATAGGGTAGTAATGCACCTGGCCTCTGCTAATCCGACTTGGTGGCTTAATCACGCTTCCCTGGCTAATCACCGTACACCGCCCGATACTGATGCTAGTCGGTGTTACATCTTTCCCCGAAGAAGAGGGTGCAGAGCGCGTAGGGTGAAGGTCGCCACGCAGTTGAACGTCTGCCATAATGACGGTGCGGCCTCCTAGTGTGATATTGGCTGTTCCGGTGATGGCGCTTCGCCTCGAAACTTTGTTGCCAGAGTCCTGTGGAGAGGAGTTAGTATAAGACAATTTATACGCTATACGATCATCGGAAATCGACGCAGTGGAGGTGGTGGTGACGACGAAGAGCAAAGTGTACGTGGGATAGTTGTTGATGTCAAATGTTTATGAGGAGGTAGACATACGGTCTCAATGTATTCCCCCTTAGGTGCAGCTTTCCGCGCTGCTGGCCGTGACATCTTCACAATGGACACCGTGAACTTGTTTGCTGCCCTGGTGTCTAATCAAAGTTGATGACAAGTGAGCTGTTTAGATAGTACTGCGATTGTGGTTGTCGTGAAGGATGAGTGAGATCGGAAGGTTTACGCGACCCAAGCTCCAAGATTAGCCAATCAACGCGTCGCGCGCCTTTGAGCACACCTCACGGCAAGTAGTCGCGAACGATGTTTCTTACACCTCATCCTTCGCTGAGACAAAACTTGCGATGGAGAGGGTGTTACTATTATGGAGTCGAGAACTGGGTTCTGACCTCCAGTTATCGCGGTTAGTCAGCGCGCAGTCCGCCAAGCCAACCGCATGCCGAAGAACTACCCAAATCTCGCGCACAAAACACCTACACTGCGTATGTACGTAAAGCAACGAACATCTGCCTTCCAAGCATCCACAAATTTCCCTACTTCATGCCTCCATTATCCAAATCAATCTAATCCTGCGCTACCCATCAATACCCACTCCGCTTCTGCACCCTATTGCCACGCAACCCATCGGCCCTACCCACACCCACGATGGAACATCAAGAGACGTACCAAGCCGGCCTCTCAATCCAGGAACAGCGCGCTCCTCCATTTCTTCCCCAAACCCTGACCCTGTTCCCTACCATCCCAAAAGCTATTCCAGTCCCATGATCGGCCATTCTAATCCGGAGAAGACTCCGATGTACATGCGGCGGCGGCGTCTCTCAGATCGA